TCACCCCTGACGTTACCTGGCACGTTGCCTTCGGGATCCCATAAAACGGTTGCCTGGCATTGCCAGAAGCTCGGTGTGCACAATGCAGCCGCTGCGGCGCATTTCCGGGCCGCCCACGGCTTGGTGGTAGTGCCAGGACATGAAAGCAGAGGTAGAGATGGCAGAGGTAGAGATGCCAATGCCAGGCCATGAAAGCAGAGGTAGAGATGCCAATGCCAATGTTGCACACTCAATGCCAATGCCACTGCTGCACCCTGCGGTGTCTCGGGCGCCTCCCCGCCTAGGCTTTAGCTAGGCCGGGGTCGGCGGATATAGCAACAACAGGTGGAGAACTGACTGCGTGTGAGATTCAGAGACTCTCCTTCAAAGCTTTTTTGACAAAGGCCGGTTCTGCAGATGCTCGAACCACGTTCGCATCCTAGAGTTCTTGGCTGGGGCGATCATATGGAGTTACACTGTCTTGAGTTCAGCAGATTTCCACTCAAGCAGTCCAGACATTTGGTCGTGTAAAAGCTGATACTAGGAAGCACTGCGGGTGCCCAAAGACCACATACATTCGCTGCGAGGTCCACTCAGATGAGGGGCTACCGTGTGGACCTCAGACCTGGCAGCTTGACTCTGGCAGCAGCATGGTCCTACAGCAGGGACCAACCACTGGCGCGTTTAATTTGCTGCAGTTTGCTGTGTGAAACTGTGAAACTATACTCTTGTTCTACTGAGTTTGAGACGTTTGAGACTGAACTGTGGCCAATGTAGGGTTTATTTACACTCACACCAGCTTGTGCGACCAAAAGCTCAGCATTGAACCCTGCTCTTGCTTCATTTCCTTGTGCTCGATCCTGGTTTGGTTCGTTGCAATTCACAACCGTCTAGTTTTCTTGGGACGTGGCATAACGTTTGTCTTGGGTCCATCTCTATTTCTCAGATTGCTTGAGTGCGTCTTCGTTACAGTCAAGGCCCTAGGCCCTGCTTCTAAGCGGGCAGGTCTGGACCGCATGCTCGAAGCGAAGGACGGGGATCGATCCCTGCAGGTCTCGGAGACTTGGCGACTGCTTTAGAAATACTCGTTCCTAGTAGCGATGCCCTTTGCTCCTAGTAGCTTCTTGCTCCTAGTAGTAAGGCCAGGAGCCCCTAGTCGCTTCTTGTTCCTAGTAGCGATGCCCTTTGCTCTTAGTAGCTTCTTGCTCCTAGTAGTAAGGCCAGGAGCCCCTAGTCGCTTCTTGTTCCTAGTAGCAACGCCCTTTGCTTCTAGTAGCTTCTTGCTCCTAGTAGTAAGGCCAGGAGCCCCTAGTCGCTTCTTGTTCCTAGTAGCGATGCCCTTTGCTCCTAGTAGCTTCTTGGTCCTAGTAAAACTAGTAGTAAGGCCAGGAGCCCCTAGTCGCTTCTTGTTCCTAGTAGCGATGCCCTTTGCTCCTAGTAGTAAGGCCAGGAGCCCCTAGTCGCTTCTTGTTCCTAGTAGCGATGCCCTTTGCTCCTAGTAGCTTCTTGCTCCTAGTAGTAAGGCCAGGGGCGTCTGGGCCCAAGCCTTCACGCGGCGCGCCTGTTACCTCCACTCTCGAGTGGGGGTACGAATTGGGCCATGAGAGCCCATTTCGGGGTATGCCATGGCATCGTTCGCCACTTGTTTCGTGCAGATACTCATTGGCGAGGTGGTTCCAAAGAAGCAATTTTACCACGGCAGGTCATCTACCGACATCGTGATTTTGCAGTGATCGAATGTGTGAAGACAGATGGAATGAAATGCATTTTGAAAGTCACCAACTCAATTTTGGCCTGCGTGAGCACTTCCGAGTCTTCACAGATGTACACCTGGAAAATCGGAGGATGTCTTCAGATGGGTGTTGTCAAGTCAGTCGACAACCAGAAGTTGCCGGATCCATTTTTGATGAATGACCAGCCAAACATCCTTCCTGGCTGTACGGATCCATCCTATCGGCCTATTCCAGAGCCCTTCGAGCCATGGGCACAAGACTATGCCCGTTCAGAGTCGGTGACAGGATTTGGTCTCACCCAAGAAGACACGGCGTTGTGGGAACCTTGGTGCTGGCGCTTTGCCAACCTACAATCGACGGATACACAGACAACCTTTGAGTACCAGGAACAGTCTGGCAACGCTGACACAAGGTCAACAGCTTCAGGGAACGCCATAACATTTACGCCAACTGGCCAGCCTTTGGGGAACCTAACCTCACCTCCAACATGCCAGATTGGCTCTGATGCGATACTTACGTCACATCGTGATGTAGAAGGAGTCCAGGTTTCTACACAGGATGACCCTCTTCTGATGTTAGAACCATGGGCCTATGCATATGTGCATCACGACATTACTGGTAGCTCTCTCCTGAATGTTGACGAAGACCAGTATTTTGAACCATGGAGTGCACATTTTGTATCCTCAGAGATGCGTACTAAAAGGACGGATCCTCCTCAATCACCGTCAGGTTTTCACTTGATGGAACCAGAGCGTCGACCTACCCTTTTGCATCGTGTCTCAACATGGTTCAAGGCCATTGTCACTACCTTGCCAACGGGGTCGTGTTCAGACAAATTCAAGTTCAGTTTCACTCAGTCTACTGTAAACACGAAATCCTGTTGGAACGATGTGTTAGGCCTACGCCCGTCTCGCCGCGCAAGACTTGAGTCCTTCTTTCGTCATTTTGGGGTAGAACGAGGGAACAACATACGAATCCCCAAATGACTGATTCAGCTACTGCAATTTTGTTTGAGACTCCATTCCATCCGCCGCCAGACATGCCATTATCGAATATCCGAGTCTCTCCAATTCAAGAGGACCATTTTGGTCCACCAGAGCACGCCGATCGTCAAGATGTAATTCATCAGGCCAATCGTATTGATATTCCTACTACGTCTACTTTCACCTCCATTCCTCATTGCTGGACAGCATTTCAAGCAAGTTGTACAGTTCGTTTGACAACTGTACGAGATGTCATCATTCCTCCTTGTTTGCCACTGTTCCAGCCAAAGTGCCCGTCTTGTGTTGATCAACACGAGATTGTTTCGTCACATGTTACTACCAATCTTGAAGCATTGAATACTCCTGAGGTCCAAATCCTAGAGAATCCCAGACCGACTCCGGCAGATCTCTTGGATCAATCAAGACCCACACCAGTGATTTGGCACACAGGCTTCTGTCATAAGAATGATCACGATCGACTCGCTCCTGGACCACTACATCAAACCATCAATAGCGGGGCTGTGCCCGATTTTACAACCTCAGACAATCAGGAGACAGCAGAGTTTGACAATGTGTCTTCGATACCACACGATTATATCGAGTGGTCTCGCCATTTTTCTACATTCTGTGCTTCAAGACCTCTCGTGAGTCTCTCTCATGGCCGTATGGACTCCTCGTCTTTCTCGACAGAGCAATGGGAATCAGATCAAATTTTCAAGTCCCTCATGGAACCCCAGGGGGTGGGCATCAGCAACTTCACGCTCTTCGACATTGGAATAGTGATGTTCAGCGTGCGATGCGAATTTTGCCTAAGGTGACTGACAGTTCCCATCAACTTCTTACACGACAACAAGATGGCCTATTGATATCTCCTCGAAGCGCTTCGAACTCGTCTTTTGATGACTTCCACCTTGGGGGTCTGGCATCCTACAGACCCGCCATACCAGTGGGTAGTGAACTCCGTGCCAGTCACATTGCTGATGCAGTCTGGGTCTGCAAAGACCTCGCATGCAATGCCACGTGCTTAGAGCAACCTCCCCTCCTGCTTTTTGATTGGGCCCAAAAGAGCAAATGGTTCACCTACAACAAAGCCCATTTCAGAGGCATTTCACTACGTTTTGAGGAGAACTCCACACAGATGTACCAGCAAAGATCAATCCTTGTGGACGCAGCTCGATCCAGTTTGAAGCAGAATCTTCTACTTCCACAACATATTACTACATGCAGTGGGGCTGTACCCAGTATCAACCACTACGCAGATCTTCGACCTCCTCACCAGGATTTGGTCCTTTCAGACGGAGTGCTTGATTTAAATAAGTTTGCTTCAACAGCATTTCAGGATCTCATCAGAGTATTAATGCTACTACGTCCTGCTCTATTGGAGCCACATGACTCGCTACCAGCTCGACTTACATTAGAGTCATATCTACAGCAAGGTGTACAGCAGAAAGCTGATGAATGTGTTTTGTCCAGCCAGTTCTTCAGCGAAGAAGATCATCGACCACAACATTTTACCACATGGAGTGGGGCTGTACCCAGTTACAACAGCAGCATTTCAGATAAAACTCGATTCCATATTCAAGACTATGATCACCTGCAGCTATGGCCTCGGCAATCTCGGCAATCACATGACACAAACCTCGCTCAAGCGATTTTGCAGTATCAAGATATTGCACAACCACTACGTCATCAGCGGAGCTCCATTGGAACTCATGAGACAATATCTAATGCCGAAAGGTCATCTCTTGTCTTCCCAGATTACCTATCCGATAGCCAAATTCGTATTCTCATACTTGACGGTGGCCATCAAGCACATGATCACACACCCTTAAGGGGTTTTTGTGCATCTCCGTATGTACCAAGACATCAGAACAATGATGTTGTACTTCCTGCGCCACTACAGGGACTCTTTGTCCAGAATCTCTTCAATACGCCAAACTTTTCCATCTTACAGCCACTGGAGGGCATTTCAGCTGTTCTCCATCAGCGTGATTTCCAGATCGATGCGGCAGATTCACAGCAATTTGATGACAGATTTTTGATTTTCGATATCAAAAGCATTACACAGCGTCCATTGCACAATACCATCAGTTCAGGGGCTGTACCCGATCCAACATCAGTGACACAAGGTTTTTTCCGAGCTCTGATACCGGGCCTACTACACATGACTACATTCAGTGGGGCTGTACCCGTGAACGACATCGCATTACACGAGAGCTCACAGGATAGACACTTGCAAGGCTGGAGTCATGCCATCTACCGCGGAGGTCACCCGGCTTGGGGCAAATGTCAGATTGTCCATATGGCTCCCAATCCTCCTTTTGACGAACGCTGTGCTGCCGCCATGCAAGATGAAGGGTGGCTTGCTTCAGATGAGGCTTTGTGGTTCCTTCGCAAGTTGCAAGAATGGAGATCAGATGTTGTCATTGGACCAATGGTCCAGTGGAGCCCAAGCAGGGACCTACATCATATTATGGATGCCGAAAACCAATTGCAATATACCAACAACCGTTTGAATCTTCAAATCTTTCTGGTGGATGCACATTGGTGTGCGGTAGAGATTGATCGTCGTACTGACCCTGCTCATGTGGTCCTCATTCAATGGCCTTCAACTGCAGACCACGGCGGTCTTGGAGATTTCCAGAATCATGCAAATCTCACCAAGCCGGCTTCTGATTACTGTCAACGATGACTATGAGGTGATGACCATGTGTGGATGGACCATACTCTGGAGATGGTACAAAAATTTTGCCATGGAGACGTGTTTGCAACCGATGATCTATGCGACACCTCAACATCAAGAGCAGCTCAACCGGGTCATCCTTCGCTCCCAACAATCCTGGAATCGAACAAACGCTACCAGAGAGCTTTGCCGCTTCGCAACTGAAAGTCGACAAGCATTTATGGCTGAGTACGCTCGTGGCCAAGCCGACACACGTCTCCCTCCTGGAGTGGCTACTACCATGTTCGTAGGCCCACCTAAAGAGTATATTCAAGAAGTGTGTCTCAAACAGAGATCACCGACTCACAGGGAGAGAGAGATTAATTGGCTTCGAACCATGTTGATACAACCCGCATGGTTAACCAATTTCGAAGTGGAAACGGTTTTGCAAGCCATTCGTCTCCAGATGATTGATCGATTTTTACCCCCTCCTTTGCACTTCAACTCCACCGCAGAAACCTTGGAGCCTTTTGTCAATGATCTTCCCAGTTTAGCTGGCTATTCCAAGGTGCTTTTCTTTGTGACTTTCCACCATCATTGGTTAACCATTTCAGGTCTTAAGCATGAAAATAGGTGGATGCTGACCGCTGCAGTTCCAGACCCGAAAAGTTCGCAACTTC